ACGGATCTATTGACAGGGCCAAATGCTACGTGCGGAATTACCACAGCTCTACGGACAGGACAGTCTTCCATAGCTCTTAATAATTCTTTTTATGCATCTGACTGAAGAAACACCACCAGTTAACAACCCTATTGTTAGGTGGTTTCTTAGAAAAACTTAATCACTAAAAAAAAGATAGGAAAATACTGAAAGTTCTTAGTGTTGATGAAAGTGTCTGATAGAGAGAATGTTGTTTAAAAATCACCAAATTATGGCCAGGCGCGGTGGCTCACGACTATAATCCCAGCATTTAGGGAGGCCAAGGGGGCTGGATCATGAGGTCAAGAGATCGAGACCATCCTAGTCAACATGATGAAACCCCATCTCTACTAAAAATACAAAAATTAGCTGGGTGTGGTGGCGCATGCCTGTAGTCTCAGCTACTTGGGAGGCTGAGGCAGAAGAATTGCTTGAACCCAGGAGGCGGAGGTTGCGGTGGGCCGAGATTGCACCACTGCACTCCAGCCTGGGTAACAAGAGCGAAACTCCATCTCAAAAAAAAAAAAAAATCACCAAATTATATCTTATTGAAATAAGCAGTGTACTACCACGTCTTTGCCAGGTCTAGGGAGCCAAGTCTAGTTTGGGGAAAGGAGCAAGCCAATGGTGCTTCCCTCTGGGATATAGTTTCACATTTTGGATGAAATCATGCAGTCTGTGAGACATTTAAGAGCAAAGTTGCAGTGAAACATGAGCTCTCAGATCTTGTGTTAGAACTACAGAACCTCACAACCTCAATGAAGGGAGATTTGGTGATATCTTTTAAAATTACAGATACACTTGCATTAGACCCAGCAATCCTACCTCTGAGTATTTTTCTATAAATACAACTCCACACATGTAAATGAATAGCATTGATCCAGTGGTTGTAATAACAATTGGAAATAACCACTTGCCCATCAGTAGCAGACTGATTAATAATTTTGTAAAAACACAAAAATTAGCCGGGCGTGGTGGTGCACGCCTGTAGTCTCAGCTACTCGGGAGACTGAGGCAGGAGAATTGCTTGAACCCAGGAGGCGGAGGTTGCGGTGAGCCGAGACCTCTACACGGTGGGTGCCATGCAGCTGCAAGAGAAAAAGAAAAAGAAAAAAGAAAGAAACGATGAGGATCATCTCTGCAAAAGGGTTCCCTGTTGTGAAGAAGAGAAGCCAGGTGCTGAAAAGAATACTTAAGACAGAGGGAGAAACAGAAATGCATACTCCTGTTGGCTTGATTCTGCATCAAGCCAAGCTTGAAGGAAGTGGTGAAAGTGCCTAACTATATATAGGGTCAACATATTATTTTTTGCCCAAATGGAATAATTTTGAGAGTGAGAGGGTTGCTATTAATATTTATAACACGCCGGGTGCGGTGGCTCACGCCTGTAATCCCAGCACTTTGGGAGGCCGAGGCGGGCCAATCACAAGGTCAAGAGATCGAGACCATCCTGGTCAACATCGTGAAACCCCGTCTCTACTAAAAATACAAAGATTAGCCGGGCGTGGTGGCACGCGCCTGTGGTCCCAGCTACTCAGGAGGCTGAAGCGAAAGAATCGCTTGAACCCAGGCGGATGTTGCAGTGAGCCGAGATTGCGCCGCTGCGCTCCAGCCTGGCGACAGAGTAAGACTCCGTCTCAAAAAACAATATTTATAACAAGACAACAAACATAGTTTGGAACTGTTCCAGACAAACCAGTCTTCATGGTCACTGTACGTAGGGCGAGCAGGAGACAGGGCTTGGGGAGTAGAGCAGCTGGGGCTTCCCAAAGTGCATTTTGTTGCCTTGCTTTGACTCTGGAATAATGCACATGTGTTGCCTGTTGGAAACAATAGGACAGGAAATTTGGGAAATGTTGGGAGGACCATGGTCCCTGTAGAATTTGTTGCTGGACTTCAGTGGTCCTTCATGGTGGATGAGCATTTAATGGTATCTGAACTCCCTGTTGACAGTGCTTGAAGACAAGCTGGGGCATGCATCTCCACAGATTACCTTCTCACAGGTGACTTTTCTCATTAAGAGCTGAGGATATTCAGCCCTTACTTATTCAGCCATCCATTCAGCCATTCCTTTGACTTCAGCGCTTTTTACATGCTGGGCACTATGCTAAGCACTGGGGGCTCTCTGGTGCTCAGGCTAGGTCGATGCCCTCCCCATGGAGCTCTTGGTCTCATGGAGGGTACAGACAAGTACACAGGACATCAGAGCAGCATGGGAAAGTGCAGTCGCCAGGGAAGTAGTCAGGCTCTGGGCACTGTGCATTCCTCAGGGGATCACTGGCCAGTTGAATGAGTGTGCAAATGAATGAATGAATGCATTAAAACAAAATGAACTCTTACCTTCCTTCCAAATCTGCAATTCACTTGTTTAACATACAGGGGTTCCAATATTTTGGAAGCATAAGAATAGAGTTAAACTCAAGTTGTTCTGCTTGGTTACAGAGAGGACTTGGTTCGTCATTTTGCATGTATGAAGCACATTTTCCCTAAGAGAAGGTGTATGTGTGAGGCAGGCATGGTATCATGAAGAGAGTTGGGGCGAAATAGAAGAAAAATCAGCTTATTTCTTTTGAAAAAATCTTCATAGTTTATAAGACAAAGGAAATGTTTCTTTTTTTTTTGAGACTGAGTCTCTGTCATCCAGGCTGGAGGGCAGTGGTGAGATCTTGGCTCACTGCAAACCTCCGCCTCCCGGGTTCAAGCAATTCTCCTGCCTCAGCCTCCTGAGTAGCTGGGCCTACAGGCACCTGCCACACACCCAGCTTATTTTTGCATTTTTAGTAGAGACAGGATTTCACCATGTTGGCCAGGATGGTCTTGAACTCCTGACCTCAAGTTATCCATTTGCCTCGGCCTCCCAAAGTGCTAGGATTACATATGGTGGCTCACCACCGCGCCTGGCTGGCAGGGGAAAAATTTAATCCAACAGCAGAACATCTATTAAGAAGAGAAGAACCATTTAGGAAAATACTTTGTCGACATAAAATTTCAGTTATACAGGAGGAATAATCAAGAGGTCCGTTGTACAACATGATGAATATGGTAAGAAGAGACGGGGGTATGGAGGTAATGATATAAAATAGTTCGGAGCTCTGCATCTAGCCCCTCTCTTCCACTGGCTTGCTGTGAGACTTCAGGGACAGAAATGAACCTCTCTAAACTTTTTTTTTTTTTTTAATTTTTGAGATGGGGTCTTGCTATGTCACCCAGGTTGGAGTTCAGTGGTACAATCATCAATTAATGCAGCCCTGACCTCCCAGGCTCAAGCAATCCTTCCACCTCAGCCCCCCAAGTACCTGAGACCACAGGCATGCACCACCACTCCTGGCTAATTTGTTTTGTTTTGGGACAGAGTCTTGCTCTGTTGCCCAGGCTGAAGTGTAGTGGTGCAATCTTGGCTCACTGCAACCTCTGCCTCCTGGGTTCAAGTGATTCTCTTGCCTCAGCCTCCCAAGTAGCTTGGACTACAGGTGCCCGCCGCTATGCCCAGCTAATTTTTGCATTTTTAGTAGAGACAGGATTTTACTATGTTGGCCATACTGGTCTCAAACTCCTGACCTCAGGTGATCCACCCACCTCAGCCTCCCAAAGTGCTGGGATTGTAGTTGTGAGCCACCATGCCCAGCCACTCCTGGCTAATTTTTAATTTTTTCTGTAGAGAGAGGGTCTTGCTATGTTGCCCAGGCTGGTCTTGGAACTCCTGGGCTCAAGTGATCCTCCTGCCTCAGCCTCCCAAAATGCGGGGATTACAGATGTGAGCCACCGTGCCCAGCCTATACTTTAGAAAATATAAACTCATGATGACTGGCAAATTGTTGTCTGTGGCTCCTCCTAGATCCTAATTCTTTGTCCTACTTGTGGATTTTGTTTTCTCAGTGTCTCGCTCTTTTTTGGAAGCAGACATTTAATTTCCCATCTCAGTGCCTTGGCTCATGCCATTCCCTCCACATAGACTGGGCTTGCTCTCCATCTTCCCGTGGCCAGCTGCTCCACACCTTTCACGGAGGTGTCTATCAAAGCTGGCCACTCTGCCAGAGTTCACTGCCCTTGTTATTTTCTGTTCCCGTCCCAATTCTTATTGTAATTTCCAGCTTTTCATCTGAAATTAAAAACTTAGTAAAGCGAGTTTAGTGAAGCGAATGTTCGTCTTGCGTGTCCAGCGTCTAGCACCTGGAAAGTTGTAAGTTCCCATCAGGATTTGTTGAATGAATCAATGAAAAACCCTCCCATTTGGTTATATTCTACTTTCCTGAATGGACTGGAAGGTTGCATAGATAGCCTCAAAGGTCCCTGCTTCCAGCTTAAACCATAGCTGTGTCTGGCCCCAGTTAAGCTGGCACCATCTCCCCTCATCCCATAATCCCTACTTTGCGGGGAAGGGAGAACTCACATTTGGGCTGTTGCAACATTTAGGTGATTGCAGACTGTGGGGGTAGATATTGGAGGGGTTAATTATTTCCAAATCTGGGTATTTCAGAGATGTGGCTCCCACAGGACACTAGAGTTTCTCTCTGGATATCATTTTAGCCAAACCAATAATTAAAGCAATTTATGCAACTGACATGTAATTCCACCGGGACTGAAGTGGCAGACAAGAAGTTCGCCAATTGTCTATGATACGGGGCCCCTCTGCATTCTCTTTTATTCTCTAAGAGATCAAAAATGTCTTTTTTGGACCTCTTCGTTTTTGTGATTTTTTTTTTTTCCACTTCTGCTTTTGAATTGGATATAACAGGCTGCAGCTAGCTTAATTCTGTAGCTGCCACTCAGTGCCTCTCCCCCTCCTGAAGCCACTGACGTCATCTTCCCACTCACTTTATCAATGACATCCACCCAGGTGAGAAATCAATGAGGAAACACCAGTCAAGGGGAATGTGAAAAGTTTTTGAATTGTGGAATTGCACTCTGCAAATTAATCATAATTTGGAAAATGTTTTCATGGTCCCTGTTCATCAGATATTCTCTCCTATTGCCTACTGCAGATGTCCGGACCTCCTAGGATGCCCTGGAACAACACCCACTCCAAAAACTCACTCTGCAGGTGACAACAGAGAGGTCCCAATGGTGGAGTGATCTGCAGGCACAACAGGGCACAGCCATGGCCAAGGTGGGAGCCAGAAAACTTTGTCCGCCCTGCCAGGCATCCTCAGCTGCTCTGCCCTTCCCCAGCAGACCCACAACGTCCTGCCATATGTGCCTCACTTTACCTCCACCTCCCATCCGGCGACAGTGCAACATGAGCTCTGGGTTTCTCTTTTCTACCCGAGTCAGGCTGACTACCTGGTGAAGAGGAAGCTTCCCAGCTGTGTTAATTTCCTAGGCCCACTGTAACCGAGAACCATGAACTGGAGGCTTAAACAACAGAAAGGTTTTGTCTCTCATTCCTGGCGGCCGGAAGTCCGGGATAGCTCAGGTGTGGGCAGGGTGGGTTGGTTTCACCCGAGGCTGTGAGGGAGAGCCTGCTCCATGCCGCTTGCAGCTTCTAGCGGCCCCAGGAATTCCTTGGCTGTAGCTGCAGAGCTCCAGTCTCCACCTGCATCTTCCCCGGCCACGTCCTCGCTGTGTGTCTTCACCTCAGCCTCCCGCTATGCATGTCTGCCTGTGTCCACACTGCCCCTTTTTATAAGGACCCCAATCACACTGGATTAGGGCTCACCCTAACGACTTCATTTTAACTGGACGACCTCTGTAAAAAGCCAGATAATGGGGACGGTGGGAAGGCAGGGACGGGGAGGGGTGCTCTGTGAGAAAATCGGACTGTTTTCCCAGCCTTTTCATTGTCTGTATTTCTACTCACTCCAGTGTAAGAGTCAGCTGTTTTCTGGCCTCGTCTGGTTTGTTTTCTCTGTGCCCTTGCCCCGTCTCCTGGCCTTAGCCCCTCTCAGTGGCTCTCTCCAGGCTGCTCACCTCCTGCTTGGGCTCGTCTTGCTCCCTGGCCTGATCAGTCAAGCAGAATGACTCCATCTGGAATGGGGCCTGGATTCTCAGGACGGCTCAGAGTTTCCTGTAACTGAAGGCCTTAGCCTTGCAGGCTCGGAATCCATGCATCTTAAATTCACGGAGCCCGCTAGTAACTCTTCCTTGGGTAATTGGCACCTAATAAAACTTTGTGGAACAAATATAGTTGTGCGACAGAGTAGCCAATTTGCTGGCCAGCATCATTTCACAAAGCCCCTGACTCCGGTGATGTGCAGCTCTCCGGGATGCTTTGAAGACTCAGCAGGATAGAGCACGTGGCTCCCACATTTCTTGCCTGAGTCACCGTATTCCAGGAAAGGTAAGTGACCCTAGTCTTTGCCTTTTCCTAGACGTGAGGTAACATCTGGTGTGGCTCATGATTATGCCTCTGTGGCCTATAATCAGATGCACTCTTACATCCAAACCTTGATGTTTCTGCTTTACTGTGACTTCTGAACAAGTCCGATGTGATTTTGCATAAACTATGAACAAAAACACTGCTTGAAAGGCGTCTGATCGCTCTGAAAAACTCCGCCCAGGCTGTAGTCCTCCCTCCATAGTCCTGAGTCAGACTTCTGAATAAAGATAACTTTAATTCTCTAAAAGCTTGATTTTCTTTTCTTCAGTCAACACAGTATAAGAGCCCCAACACTTCCTTTGAGCTAAGCAGAAGCATGATTTGCTCAGAAAGAACTTTTGAAAGGCACTTACTCCAACTTCCCTGCAACTCACAATCTTCTCAATAAATATTTACTGAATAAATGAGCATCTCAATACATTTATGAATAAATAGGACACAGAAGTCTTTTCTACCAAATCCATAAAGTTTCAGAGCAAGCACTGACACTTTGCATAATGGGAACCTCATGCATTTGGAGGCAGCCTTCCCCGCTGCTGCACCATTTCATTCTTTCAGGCTCTTTCTGAGGTTGGGCCAGCATGTTCTTGCTGACGAATGGCTTTTGGGGATGCCTGCCCCTTCTTCTCTAGTAAAGCACTTCAGATACAGAGAGACGGTTGCCATAGACCCTGTCTCCTCTTTTCCAAACGAGGCTGTTGCTCTTGACTCATGTTGCAGACCCTTCATTTCCGGGTGGATGATATCCCTGTCCATACGTGGCCCACAGAGTCACACACAGCTCCAGCTGTTCCACAGTCCCAGGACAACTCCAGAGTTCTGCCCAGAACAAAGCCTGTGCTGTCATTAGTGATCTGAAGCAGATACCATGTTCATGGACGGGCAGCCTATGATTCTGACAGATTCTTAGTAGCCGACACTGTACACTTGGCTCACACAAAGTAGTCAGTCAACTCCAACATCTTTTTTTTAAAAATCAACGTTTTCCCTTGATTAAAAAGATTATAGAAGACTCATGTGGAAAATAGAGTGAAAATAAGGCCACATCATCAGTCCGTTTGCTAATCCCGAGTCAGTCGCAGTTACCGGTTTCCTGTATTTTCTTACTGTCTTTGTTTGCACGTGTGTTTTTATACACTGAGTATCGTCAAGTGTCTGCCACTTTGCATCCTGGTTTCGTTTTGCCTTTACTCCCTTCTAAAATGATTTTCACATAGACCGGCCCTGTACTCAATCAGAATCCCTGGGAAAGGATCCTGGTCATGTGATGCTTCTCTCTTTTTATCTTTTCTTTTCTTTTTTTAATTCCTAGGGAAATCAAACTAAATTAGAAGGCATGAATATTTCAAAAATGTTTCCCCTTTGATTCTAGTGCACCCCCGGGGGGGGGGATCATTAATCGTATCTTATGGGCATTTATTTGTTTGTGTTTAACATCTTTTTAGTTAGTAGCTGTTCTTCGGTTGTAAGCATTCTTCCCACATTTGCAGATCTGATCAGCATGCTTTCTCTGCTTTCTCTGCATTGCTCGTGACGTTGAGAGTTTGACCAGGGCCAAGAACAGAGACCTGATGATCTCCCTCTGGCTAGCACACTGATATTAATCAACTCTGAGGAAATATTCAATCAAGAAGCTATGTTCTTAATCAGTCTGCTTTTCCCTCCCTTCTACAACAAGATCACGTGCAACTCTATAAGATAGTATTTTCTAGAGAAAAAAAAGGAGTTCATTGGGTATGACTTGATCATGATCCTTTCAGTGCCTGGACAGACAGCAGAATGATAGCCTTTCTCTAAGAAGGTCAATGTGGGATTAGACACAGGTGAGTTATTGCTAGAAGGACCAGCCACCAGGCTCCTGAGGGACAGCGAGGTTGGTCACCGGCCTCAGTCCACACCTGCCTAACCAAGCTGGGTATTCATTCCCCGACTCAGCCAAGAATATCTGAATAGCCAAGAAAGAGGAAAGGGGTGGTGGATGCAAAATACAGGAGAATGACTCTCTGCAGTCCTTTCAATGCACTTGCAAAGATACAATTGCACTGACTCCTTATTCCTCTCTGGGATGTGTACTCCCCGGGATGTAGATGACGACATTGCCCAGAGCAGTGGGAGGACAGAGGCGACCAGGTTTTCTGACTGCAAGACTAGTATTCCTCCCCTCTCTCTGCTGCCTCCAATATGAGCCTCGACCTCCCGCTTTCCTCCACGAGTCTAGTGGCAACTGCCTTACTGACTGAACCACACATTGTACTCCCTACCTGACTTTTCAGTAGGATGACTTATGTAACACTTTTTAAAAGCCCATTTTCCTGGTATTTAGGAAGAACTGGGAGCTTGGCCATGGGCTGTGACTTTCCTTTGCTCAAGCTATCCAATATGGGATTGCCAAATCTGGGTAAATACAACTGCTTTCCCCAAATTGGCAGGAGCAAGTCAGAACCTCACATCTCTTTACCCTTGCTTTTTTGTAGGGTACGAGGGTGAAAAGTCAGCCTTGCTGAATTTCTACTAGATAAACATTTAACAGAAAAGAGCACTGGGCTGAAAGTCAGTGCAAAGTTCTGCCTGGTCAGCAGCCTTCACCTTTGTCCCTGCACCAACCCCTTAACTGTATCAAATCTGCAGGCTCAACCCCCATCTCACCTCTGGACCAACCCTGTCCATGGGCCTACCGAGGTTGGCCCAATACGCTGACACCCTGTTCTATTGCCTTGCCCCCTCCCCGCTGAGCCCCATCTTGGACATAATCACCAGGTTCCAGCCCTAATTTCTTAAACTTGAATATCCATTTATGTCTCTTGCCAACCACTCCAGTCCCTGTGAGGGTGAACTTCTGACTTTTTAGTGCTGGACACCCTCCCAGGGGCAGGAGACCTGTTCCCAAAAAGGGGGCCCAGTGCCTGCGGCCTGGGTAGCGGACGCCACCTGCCCCGACAATACGACATCACCCGCTCCCAGCTTCCTTTCCTGGGTTCCAACGGAAGTCGATTACACCACCTCTTTCTGCAGCCACAACAGCCAAAGATTTCATTCTGTTTCTCAGGCTTCACTGTTCTTGACAAAGACCTCTCTATGTGTCCCCCAGATGCCTTATCTGAGTCCCGACCTGCAGTCTGGCCCACCCACCTGAAGGATAACCAGGGAACCAGGGCACGCTAGCCATGTCCCAAGATGGGAGGATGCAGAGAACCAGTTCTAGGCCTGGCTCTTCTACCAATTGTCTGAGTGAACTAGGGCAAGTCACGGGGCCTCCGAAGTCTCCTTCCCCAACCTCAGAACAAGTGTGTATACCAAAGAGGGCAAGTGGGGGTGGAGGATGGACTTAGAAACACACTAGAGCATCTGTGGTTTGAGGATTCTTTTAAACTCATTTATGCAATGGGTAAGAAGGAAGGCCCTCTTTCTCCAAACACACTTGCACACCCTGGACCTGTGTCCAATTCTGGTGTGTCTAACACTGAACAAAGAAGCTTGGTTGCCACGGGCTGCCAGCCAAGACCCTCCCAGGGGAACTTCAGGCCCAGGAGAAGGGAAAGCAGCTCTGCGGAATGGGTGCTCATGATTCCCCCAGAAAAATCAATGACTATCATCTCTACGCTTCTGGGTCCTGGCCTGTGAAATGTAGAAGCCTAGAAAACTCACCTCGCAGTGTCGTCACAAGGGTGAACTGTGACAGAAGCACTTTGCGAAGAGTAAACGACCATCGCAATGTCACCATTATTGTCGTTAGCTAACTGGAGTTCAGGATATAACAACAACAGATGGCTTCTGCTTCCTTCTGAGATTACGATCTAGGAAGCACATGCTCTATCTTCACATGAAAATAGTTTAAAGGCGCAGTGGCTCACACCTGTAATCCCAGCACTTGGGAGGCCGAGGCGGGTGGATCACGAGGTCAAGAGATCCAGACCATCCTGGTCAACATGGTGAAACCCTGTCTCTACTAAAAATACAAAAAATTAGCTGGGCATGGCGGCCCGTGCCTGTAATCCCAGCTACTCGGGAGGCTGAGGCAGGAGAATTGCCTGAACCCAGGAGGCGGAGGTTGCGGTGAGCCGAGATCGCGCCATTGCACTCCAGCCTGGGTAACAAGAGCGAAACTCTGTCTCAAAATAAATAAATAAATAAATAAAAAGGTAACTGTACTCCTGAAGACCAGCGTCATCCAAACGTGCCCGATCTCAGTCAGACTTTCCATAGAGAATCACAAGACAGAGAGGGAATGTGTTCCCAGAGCGTAAGTCTGTATTCACCGCACAGTTGCTTTAAACATGCTTCAGAAAAAGTCCTAGCAAGATCTCTTTTATTTTGCAGTCTTTCTCCTAAATTAATGGCACTGTGGATCACGGCCAGTGACAGGCCTTCTTCATCTACCACATCTAATGTCACTTCATACTACAGTTGGCCCTCGGTATCCAGGGGTTTCACGTTCTCAGAATCAACTAACCATTGGATGGAAAGTATTCAAAAAGCAAACAGAAAAAAGGTGGTTTTGTCTGTACCGAACACTTATAGACTTTTTCTTGCCATTATTCCCTAAACCAAGCAGTATAACAACTATTTGAATTAGGTATTATAATTAATTTAGAGGTGATTTAAAGTATGTGGGAAGGGGCCAGGTGCAGTGGCTCACGCCTGTAACTTCAGCACTTTGGGAGACCAAGGTGGGTGGATCACTTTAGGTCAGAAGTTCAAGACCAGTCTGATTAACACAGTGAAACCCATCTCTACTTAAAAAAAAAAAAAAAAAAAAAAAAGGAGAAAAAATAGCTGGGTGTGGTGTTGGGTGCCTGTAATCCCAGCTACTTGGGATGCTGAGGCAGGAGAATCCTTTGAACCTGGGAGGCGGAGGTTGCACTGAGCTCAGACTGCACACTCCAGCCTGGACAACAAAGCGAGATTCTGTCTAAAAAAAAAACCTGTACAGGAAGATGTGAGTGTGTTCTATGCAAACCCTAGGCCATCGTCTTTCAGTCCCTTGAACATCTGCCGATTTCGGTATCCTGGGGTGGGAGGTGCCGGGGATCTGGAACCATTCCCCTGTGGAAACTGAATGAAGTATCATTTACAGCATATTTTCAGTGCCACTATTTTATAATAGCTTACATGATTATTTCATAGGATAGAAAAGACGTTAAATTATTAACGCAATGAATTTTTAAAAAACAGCGCTATAGTCACAAAAATCACTCGGGAAAACGTCTGCGTTGATTCACGGTGCAACTCCTCGTCATTCAGGCCAGTGCCCGTGGAGGTTTCTGTTTACCGTAAATGTGGTGCAGCCGCCAGACCAGGTCTAAACATGGTGTAAATTTCACTGGCTGTGCTCCGGATTTGTGACGCCATTCTGGATAAATCATGCAAATTTGGAGGAATTTACACTGCTTCAAATGTTGCCTATTCTGAAATTGAGCAGTCTCCAGCAGTGTTTTATTGCCATTTTACATAGCATTATTTAAAATTTGCATAATTCAAATTTGCATGAAATGTGACTCTGTGGTTCAGATGACAGCATCTTAACAAAACAAACAGCGTTCACATGACCTCCGCATCAGTGGAAGAAAAGTGGGAACAACTGACTTGCAGGGGGCTGGCTAATGGAGAAAGCACTTTTTGAAGAATGAACATTTTGAATATGTTGAATAAAAATACATGTTGAGCACGTTTGAATAGAGGGGGACCTGGCATGTGCTGAATAGAAGACATATTCGAATATCTATAATATACCAATTCTTTGGTACCGCTGGAAATCGCTCAACTTCAGAATCAATAGTTCTGGTTGCTGCACTTTAAAAGGACCTTGGATCACTTCTGTTTTGAAAAGGGCTGCCATCATTATCCTTTGGGTTTCACTCAGAGGCATGATAAACACCCAGGCTGGGGAACGAAGACACCCTCAAAGAGTAAGGAATTCTGCCTGAAATTCCTGAGGGCCCCAGAGTTTAGATCTACTTTGTCAAGCACAGCACATGAATTATGCAAGGTTTTTTGATAACTAAAAGTAACCATTAATATCTGCCTGAAAGAAGCTTGACCTGGGATTTTTATCTTTGGTTGCCAGAGGATACATTAAATCCTTTTTGGTGTTTGTTTGAATAATGGAATAGACAGTTTAGGTTGCTTAGCTGAACACAGAGCATATTTTTATTCTGAAAGGGCAATTAGAAATCCTGACTTTAAAACAAAGATAGAATTCCTCCTCTGCTTGCATTAGCACATTAATCAGTTAATAAACAAATATTTATTAAGTTCCTGCAATGGAACCTTTGACTCTCCTGTTTAATAACTCTTGACAAATTCTCTAATATCCTGTCAAAAAAAATATTTTCTCTAACAAATCATCTTAAAACATATTTATTTTTCCATTTTATCTTTGGACTAACTAAATGTGTTTCATCTTTTTACCCCATAGAGATGGGTTACTCAATTCTATGTCTCTTTCCACTTCTAAGTTACACAGCCTTCAGTCAGCAAAACAAATTTACTTTCCATGTTGACAATGATAGACTCACAGGACAAGATCACACAGCCTAGTGGTTTCCAAATCTGATTTGTGCATCAAAATCACATGGGGAACCTATCGATATTTAATCAAATGATTTGTCATTAGTCAAGATTTCGTTTTGGAGACCACTGACTTCATTTTACAGACACAGAAATTGAAGGTAACACCATTTGTGGCAGAGTCAGCCAAGAGACTCCAAGTCTCTTTCCAGCTCACAGTCCTGTTTTCATCCGACTGAACCTTCCATTACATGCAACAACTTGCAGGATTAAAGGGATAAATATCTCTCAGTGAAATTTTCAATGGATTTTTGGACATATCTCTTCTATTGGTTTCTCCTGGAATTCTGCTCTCTCTGAGTACAATGGGTGTCAAATTCCTTAGTAGCAAGAATCTTCATGAAAACTGACCAACAGCACAAAAGCCTATACCAAGTGCTGTTCAGAACAAACTTCAGAGGCCCAGTTTCATTCATTAGGAGTTTATTCACTCAGCATTTACTGGAGGCTCACTCTGTGCATACTCTTTGCTAGGCTCTCTGGGAATATAAGAATTTTAAATAGATGTGTTTCAAAGGAACTTGCAGTCTAATCGAAGAGAGAGGATCCAAACATACAAAAAGGTAACTTAACCAGTTTGTGTAATAACAGCTCTTGTCTTGGGGTGTTTTAGTTAAAGTGGCTGCTGTAACCCAAAAACCCACAAATGTGTAATAAAAATTCCAGACGGTTGGGTGGTTTTCCTCCAGGTAGTGACTCAGGGTTCCAGTCTCTTTCCATCTTTTAGCCCTCCCATCTTCAACACGTGATTTCCCTCCCCATCGTGTTTTCTTCATTCAAGTTGACAGAAGGGACTCAGCAGTGGGGAATTGCCTTCTTTGGGAGGCGAATCATCTTCTTTCTTTTCTTTCACATGCTATTGGCCAGCATTCAGTCATATGGCCACACTTAACCGTAGGAGGTGAGAGTACAATGTGCTGTCCTCCTGGAAGAGAAAACAGAAATAGAAAAGAAACTGATTTGTTACCCCACAAAGGGCTTTGGTTTTCTTAGCAGTGAAAGAGATCCTTGTGGTTGCCCTAACATTCTCTTCCCTTGGGCCCCAGAGGACCCCATCTGGAGATTACTGTGGGTGAAAGGAAATCATTCTCGAGATGGTTGTAGGTTAAAGGAAAGAGTTGTGCAAAGAGAAGGCAGGCGTGCCACAGAGCAGGCACGGGGAGCCTAAGGCCAGCGTTCAACTGGAATGACGGGGGATGTGGAGAAATGGAACCAAGGCTACAGATGTTCGCTGGCATTGGCTTGTGGTGGCCTCGCATGCGAGGCTAAGGAATTTTACCAGCATTTTAGGATAAAACCAAAACTCATTTAGACTTTATAAAGTTGGGCAAGGGCATTGAAGACCCAGCCCCAGTTTGCTGTTCTCTGGGCACTGCTGAATTCCTAGCATTGACTCCCAGCTTTCTCGGAAGATAGCAGCAGTGAAGCTGGCAGCTGGAGCATGTCTCTGTCCTCTCCGGCTACCCCAGGCGACTGTGTCTACACATGGCTGTTGCTGGACTCCGGGCGGGTTTTTGATGATTGGTTGACTGTGCTCTGAGATGGTTAGAGTCCATCAAGGCGCTTGCTTCATGGGACTCTCCTCACTGAATCAGCTCTAAGGGGACCCCCTGTGTGGGATCCTCATTAACCACTAGGAAGCTCCCAGCTGAGTTTCCCGTCCAACCTCGGTCATCCGCAGGGCCTTACAGCAGGCGTTCTATGCACTAATTTCCCCTGGCCTCCTTTTCTTCTGATTTATTTTTAATATCTTACTACAGTATAATATTTGATAAACCGATATTTGTAAATGTAACAAATAAAAGCAAACAAATGCTAGTATACCATCTTGAAGCCTGTTCTAATGAAGTACGATATGCATCAGTAAATACATAAAAATAAACTATATGACTATGAATCCAAAGAGAACACAGCAACTTTGCCAGCCTGTCTGCTCATGATGTTTTCTTATTGTTGTTGTTGTTGTTTGTTTTGAGACAGAGTCTCACTCTGTCACCCAGGCTGGAGTACAGAGGCATGATCTCAGCTCACAGCAACCTCCACTCCCCTGGTTCAAGCGATTCCCCTGCCTCAGCCTCCCGAGTAACTGGGACAACAGGCACACACCACCACACCTGGCTAATTTTTTATATTTTTAGTCAAGATGGGATTTCACCATGTTGGCAAGGCTGGTCTCAAACTCCTGACCTTGTGATCCGCCCACCTCGACCTTCCAAAGTGCTGAGATTACAGGTGTGAGCCACCGCGCCCGGCCTCCCATGATGTTTTTTAATCCAAATGAACCAGTAGCTGAGTGGGAACATGAGACTCCCTTCCTGGACTGTGTGTTGACTGCCCTCCTATGCATCCCCAGGCTATGGAGCCACAAGGGATGGAGGTCCTAAATGGGTTCCCCTTTGTGACCAGGCAATAGGACCCAGCCTTACCAACAGAATTACCATGAACACACACAGAAAAAAAGTCTTCCTTTTTTGTGGGATGGGAAGGGGCAGAGAGAGGATCATTTACAAAACAGATTAAGCACAGAAAAGCCTGGGGTTTGTTTGTTTGTTTGTTTGTTTGTTTTTTGAGACGGAGTCTTGCTCTGTCCCCAGGCTGTAGTGCAGTGGTGCAATCTCGGCTCACAGCATCTTCCACTGCCCAGGTTCAAGCCATTCCCCCGCCTCAGCCTCCTGAGTAGCTGGGACTACAGGTGTGTGCCACCACGCCCGACTAATTTTTTTTGTATTTTAGTAGAGATGGGGTTTCATCATGTTGGCCCGGATGGTCTTGATCTCCTGACCTCGTGATCCACCCCGCCCTCGGCCTCCCAAAGTACTGAAATTATAGGCATGAGCCACTGCACTGGGCCAGAAAAGCCTGTTTCTAAAAATAATGTCATTATGGGGAAGTTTTTCCCCGCCAGTGTCTGCACAGCCACTCTGGCTAATATGGTAACAAGACTTCTCCCTTTCCTTCCTGTCACTAAGTCATGCAGACAATTAGAGAGTAGATATTTTCTGAGGATTCTTTTTGGCTCTTTCATGGGATCCTCATGGTCCTGACATGAGTGACCACCCAGAGATGAATGTAAGGAGATGCCACGACGTCTCTGGACAGATGGAACAGTGCTGGATGTATGTATGCATACCGACCTGTTATATTCTGTTTTCACATGTGTACTGCTTTCCTCTGATTATGCCAATAATGTATGCTTACTGTAAAAACAATCATGAAAAGTTAGAAAAGACAAAAACTATTCCTCATCCCATCCAGAGACAAACTATGCTTAACACATCTCTTTCCTGCTTTTATATATATACATATATCTCGTGATAATGCACTATAATTTCCTGCATATATATATACACACACACTTAGATGCAGGAGAGAGATGTATTACAAATATATGACATTATGTATGTCTTTTGTCATCTGCTTTTCTGTATTCGATACGATATCATGAGATTTTTGCTCATCTCACTGAAAAATCTTGAAGAACATTATTGGTAAAACCTACTATAAGCCGGGTGTGGCGGTGCACGCCTGTAGTACTAGCTACTCCAGAGGCTGAGGCAGGAGAATGGCTTGAACCTGGGAGGCGGAGGTTGTGGTGAGCCGAGATCGCACCACTGCGCTCCAGCCTGGACGACAGAGTGAGACTCTATCACAGAAAAAAGCTCATATGAATGAAGATTCCCCAGCAACCGCTTCAGTTGTTTCCAGTTTTACGTGCAACAGGAGACAGCGTTGTGTTGGTAGCTAAGCTTCTGCAGCACACCTAAAGAAAGCAGATTCCTGGGTGCCCTGCTCTGATCCCCTTGGGGAAACGCTTAGGATGGATTTTATTTCAAATACTGTAAATCAGGCCAGGCATGGTGGCTCATGCCTGTTAATCCCAGTACTTTGGGAAACTGAGGCGGGTGGATCACCTGAGATCAAGGAGTTTGAAACCAGCCTGGCTAACATGGCGAAATCCTGTCTCTACTAAAAATATAAAAATCCCCAGGCATGATGGTGTGCCCCTGTATTTCCAGTTACTCGGGAGGCTGAGGCGCAAGAATGAATCGCTTAAACCCTGGGAGATCGAGGTTGCGGTGAGCTGAGATCGTGCCACCGCATTCCAGCCTGAGCAACAGAGCAAGACCCTGACTCCAAAAAAAAAAAAAAAAAAGCCAGTGCCAGCATGGGTTTCTATGCATGTATGGCAGTGAGCCCATTCTCTGTTAGGTAGTGTCTACATAACGGAACGCTATTCAGCCTTCGAAAGGAATGCCACTTGCACATAGTCTACACCATGAATGAGCCTTGAAAACATTCTAAGTGAAATAAGTCACATACAAAAGGAAACACATTATATGATTCCATTTATCTGAGATTCCTCGAGTAGTCAAATTCAAAGAGATCGAAAGTAGAGCAGAGGTTGCCAGGGGCTGCGGGGGTTTGGGGAAAAGGGGAATTATTGCTTAATGGGTACGGAGTTTGTGTTCAGAATGATGAGAAGGTTCTGGAGATCGATGGGGCGGGTGATGGTTACACTACACTGTGAATGTGCTCACTGCCACTGAATAGTACACTTGAAAACGGTTAAAATGGTAACTCTTATGTACATCTTACCACAACTTTTAGAAAGCCAAAATAAGGCAGAATTATAGCCAGGAGGGTGAATACTAAGGTTCCTTCTGCCCAAAGGCTTGCTCGTCGTGGTTCCGGATGATGTCATCCTCCTTGTGGGGGACACCCAGAGACTCTTCCCACCCTTCTGAACCTGGCCTTCTCATTCTCTGATTTTCATCCAGGCTCCCCCATTCCAGCAGGTGTCTCTGTTCATAAGTTCACTCCTATCTTCTGAAAACTCCACCCCTTCTCACGGGGCAAGCTCACTTGGGGGTTCTTCTTCTTCCCTTCCAGAGCCTCAATTCTTTTTTTTTAATTGCATTTTAGGTTTGGGGGTACATGTGAAGAACATGCAAGATTGTTGCATAGGTACACATGTGGCAGTGTGATTTGCTGCCTTCCCCGCCTTCACCTATATCTGGCATTTCTCCCCATCCTATCTCTCCCCAACACCCCACCCCCTGCTGTCCCTCCCCTATTTCCCTCCAACACACCCCAGTGTGTAGTGCTCCCCTCCATGTGTCCATGTGTTCTCATTGTTCAACACCCGCCTATGAGTGAGAACATGTGGTGTTTGATTTTCTGTTCTTGTGTCAGTTTGCTGAAAATGATGGTTTCCAGGTTCATCCATGTCCCTACAAAGGACACAAACTCATCGTTTTTGATGGCTGTGTAATATTCCATGGTGTATATGTGCCACATTTTCCCTTTTCAGTCTATCATTGATGGGCATTTGGGTTGGTTCCAGGTCTTTGCTATTGTAAACTGTGCTGCAATGAACATTCGTGTGTATGTGTCCTTATAGTAGAACAATTTATAGTCCTTTGGATATATACCCAGTAATGGGATTGCTGGGTCAAATGGAGTTTCTATTTCTAGGTCCTTGAAGAATCGCCACACTGTCTTCCACAATGGTTGAACTAATTACACTCCCACCAGCAGTGTAAAAGTGTTCCTATTTCTCCACATCCTCTCCAGCATCTCTTGTCTCCAGATTTTTTAATGATCGCCATTCTAACTGGCGTGAGATGGTATCTCAATGTGGTTTTGATTTGCATTTCTCTAATGACCAGTGATGATGAGCATTTTTTCATATGTTTGTTGGCCTCATGTATGTCTTCTTTTGTAAAGTGTCTGTTCATATCCTTTGCCCACTTTTGAATGGGCTTGTTTGTTTTTTTCCTGTAAATCTGTTTGGGTTCTTTGTAAATTCTGGATATCAGCCCTTTGTCAGATGGGTAGACTGCAAAAAATTTTTTCCATTCTGTTGGTTGCCGATCCACTCTAGTGACTGTTTCTTTTGCCGTGCAGAAGCTGTGGAGTTTCATT